GACCTTGGGGCCGTCGGTGCTCGCGCCCCGCGGTGAACCGGGGTGCCCGCGCGGACGGGGAGGCGGGGGTCCTGCGGGAGGAGGCGCGCGGGGCGGGGGAGCGCGTTCGGGCTCCCAGATAGAAGCGTCAGGGAAGCCGCCGGCCGCTTTCGCTTTCGCTGTCCTCCGGGCTGCGGGGCTGTCACCCCGGAGCGGGCTGGGGGCCCCGCGGAGCCCGGGCAGCGCCCCGAGAGGGTGCGGGCGCGGCCGCCCCCCGCACGGCGTCTCATCGCCCGGGGACTCGCGCCCGCGTTGCTTGTGGGTTGGGCGAATCCGCGATGCCGTCCGGGGAGACCCCGAGGCTCCTGCTCGCCCAGGTGCGCCCTTCCCGGTCCCCCCAGGTGGGGCAGATGGGACCCGGAGGCCACCAGCTTCCCCCGGCACCGCCAGCGCTCTTGGCTGGGCGGGCTCGTGGCAGGGCCCTCTAGCATGGGCGCAGCTTAGCGCTCTGGCCCGTTATGCGCGGAAAGTCGCGGTGCGTGGAAAGCGCGCGGGGCACGGTCCTGCGGGCAGAGGGTGTGCGCGTGGGGTGGGGGTAGCGGAGAAAACTTCCCTTCCCTGCGGGTTGGCAAGTGGGAAGTAGGATGCAGAAGTGAAACCCAGGCACAGGACTTAGACCTGGGATTGAGTCTCGGGTCTGCTCTTAATTGTGTGACGTAGAGTAAGTCATTTCTTGTCTATGCCTCACTTTCCTCAAATGAACCAAGGAACTTTGAGGCCTTTGGCTCAACCGGAGTGGAAGGAGCGCAGCCTTATCCTCCACCCTCCCTTAAATCTGTCCCTGGCCCGGAAAAGTGAGCTCGGACTTGGCAGTCAAACCCTCTGCTGGTACAGTTCTCGTCCCCTGGCTGCAGGGCTGTCTGACTAAAATTCCTGCAGAGAGACGTTTCTTCGAATCGCAGTGTGCGCCTTGCTGCTGTCCGCTTTCACCCGTCCGTGCTAAGCCCTGAGCTCCTTGTGGAGTCCCCTCGCTCTGTAAATTTTGAGAGCTCCCTTCTGATTAAGCAGGGGCGCAGGGAGCGGAGTCCACGCCTGATCTTGTTCCCGAGTCCCCAGGAACTTGTGCTGCGTCAGGGCTGCGCTGCGTGGGCACGCACAACCGGTGTGCGCGGTGGCGCCCTTTGTGGCCTCTCTTTACAGTGGAAAGCTGGAGTTTGGGGATATTGTCCTTTCTGTGCTGCATCACAGACAGGTTCTGACATCCCCTGTAGCTGAGGCAAATAATAAAGTGAAAAGATGGAGGGGGTAAAAAACGGTACCGAGGTCAGCTCCAGCCCGAATGACTGCGTGACCTTGAACCAGTCGCCTGAGCGCGGGCGCTGAGAACGTCTCCTCTCCTGTGACACCAGGGCTCAGGGCCCTTCCTGCGCTGACGGTTCGTGCTCTGTCTCCGCAGACAACCATCATGGCTGTGGAGTTTGACGGCGGCGTCGTGCTGGGTTCCGACTCCCGGGTCTCTGCGGGGTGAGTACCTGCGAAGATGCGCGCCTTCGGGAGGATGCCGACGACGGGCCCCCAACGCACACTTTCCTTACCCATCTGTGAACGATCTGTTAGACTGGACCTTTGAGGAAATTCTAATGTCGATGACTCCTTCAGAGGAGCAAGTGTACTATGGCGTTGGCAGATGCGTGAGTGTCTGAATTCGTGAGGAGGACCCTGGGTCTGGATGCTTATGTGACCCGTCCCTGTGGTGAGCAGGGTTTGTGTAAGGAGCAGGGTCGGAAGATGCATAGGAGGTTGGTTTTTGCTTCCATCAGCTTACAGATTAAAAAAAAAAAAAAAAAAAAAAAATTCTGTCAAGCAGATACCTCACTTCTCACTTACCACACTTTGAACTAATTTTGACTCTTCTCGATTTCTAGTCAGGTTCCTCACGTGTAACAAAAAAGTGCATGGGATTAGATCCACATTACTACATTGTGTTCCTTAGAATATGATGTAATTCAGGATAACTAATAGCAAAGAAAGACTGATAAGATGCACACTCAACTCAGTGCTTTTTGCTCTGTTGCAAAATCTAAGCCTGGAAAAGTCTAGGTGTGAAAGTCTACTTTTGACTAATGTAGTGATTAGTTTATCTGAGATGTGTTTGCTTTCGTCCTTCACCCAAGCATTACATTTCAAACTATCCTCTTGCCAGATAAACTTGAGAAACATGGCATCGTTAACCTCAAACATTCCCGAAAGTCTAATGTCGATGACTGCTGGCTCCTTTCCACAGACAGGCAGTGGTGAACCGAGTGTTTGACAAGCTGTCCCCGCTACACAAGCACATCTACTGTGCCATCTCCGGTTCAGCTGCTGATGCCCAGGCTGTGGTTGACTTGGCTGCCTACCAGCTGGAGCTGCATGGGTATGAAGCGAGGCTCTAGCTCCTGACTCCCCACCCGCTCCAGCTCCCCAACTGCAGAGCCCTTTGGTGTTCCCCATCCCGGGACACTGTTTCGGCTTCTGCTTTTGTGAGCTTTGAGCTAACGCCTGACACTCGGCCGGTTTGTGCACGCAAAGTGGAGATGATAGTACCTACCCTCCCTTACCAGGTGGCTGTGTGGAAGGTCAAATGACATATTAAAAAACTGTAAATCACTATCCTCATATAAATAATCAGGGAGAAAGTGGTGATATGGCCCCGTAATATCAGGCAATTACCATGTGCAAAGCTAAGGCCACTGACGTGCCTCACCCATGCGGGCAGGGCAGATGAGTGGTTGCCTCAGCCAGGAGAGGACTGTGTCTTTGGGAGGTGGGTGTGTGGGGCAGAGGGAAGAGGGTGAATGACTGAAAGCTTCTTACCAGTTGGCTGGGGTAGACTGTGGGAGGGGCGCACGAGTTGGAACTACTGCAGCTGTAGGTTCAAGTGCCATGTGGCGGGGAGGAGGATAAGAACATTCTGTGGACTGTTATTCCTAACATCCCCCCAGGACGGAACTGGAAGAAGCACCCCTCGTTCTGGCTGCTGCGAACGTGGTGAAGAACATTACCTACAAATACCGGGAGGAGTTGTTGGCACATCTCATTATAGCTGGCTGGGACCAACGTGAAGGGGGCCAGGTGAGTCCTGCTCAAGGCAGCCCCTCCTTGGGGTTTCCCACTCTCCCGTGCAGGGGGTAGAGGCCATGTATCATGCTAAGAATGAGTTCCTCGAAAAGCTGTGTGCAGTCTCAACTGTTAGAGATGAGACAGTAGGACTTCACTGCCAGGCACAGACACCACCAGCTTGATTTAGGGAAAGAGCAGCTGGATGATTCTCTAGACTGATGCAAGATGCCTCCCTCAGGTCTACGGGACCCTGGGCGGGATGCTGACTCGACAGCCTTTCATCGTGTGTGGCTCTGGCAGCACCTACATCCATGGCTATGTGGACGCGGCGTACAAACCAGGCATGACCCCTGAGGAGTGCAGGCGCTTCACCACGGACGGTAACTAACACAGCGGGAGTTCCCTAGGAGGGTCTCCACACATGGGAAGGAAGTAGATTACAAGGAGGAGGAAGAGGGCTGCTTGGCTCACCATTTCATTCGATGTCCAAACTGGGACGCTTCAGAGAGGGAAAGGGGGACAGGATAAGTGCCGGACTAGAAGGGACTTTGGGACAACAGGGATAAACTAGGACTACTCTGAGTAAGCCCAGTAGGATATGTGGTCACCATAAGAACTGTGGTGTGTTGGGTGTGCTTGAGTCGGCTTCTGAGGGTTGATCCTTAAAAATCCAAGGCTGTGGGAGCTGCTTACACACCTGTCGGTGTGTTGAAAATCCATCACGGCAGTATCTGTACCATGGAAGCGAGCAGATGCTGCATACAAAGGCTTTTGCTTTTTAAGTACACCACTAAATATGCCTCTCTGGAAGACGGGTTTTAAGGCGGAAGTGGTGGTCAGCGTGAGGACCGGAGGGGAAGGAATGAGTTTTAAAGCTAAGCCGCTCTCTCCTCCTCTCTCCAACTTGAAACGCTCTGCAGCTGTCGCTCTGGCCATGGGCCGGGATTGCTCCAGCGGGGGTGTCATCTACCTGGTCACTGTCACGGCTGCTGGTGTGGACCATCGAGTAATCTTGGGGAAAGAGATGCCAAAATTCTACGACGAGTGAGCCTCCCTCCAGCTCCCCTTTCTTGTTTGTAATAAACTCGCTGGGACAAGAAGCTGGTATGGTCCATGGGAAGAGGGTGTCAGGGAGGAGCTTAGGGGAGGGGAATTCTTCCCACCCAGACTTCAGCGGGCCCTGTTTACGCTTTTGCCCCAGGTCTGAAACATCTTTCCCAGAGAAAGGAGAGAGGGGAGCACTGGGGTTAGAAAGAGCCCTGTGCATGACAGGTCACTGTGTATTGAGTGACTTTTAAATATTATGAGTCGTAAAAATTCTCCCAGAGCTTCTATGTAGCTTAGCAGGAAAGTCCATGCTGGCACATAGGAGGCCCGAGGTTCAATCCTAGCACTAAAAAACAAACAAAAAAAGCTCATCCTGAGGCTCAGGGATGAGGGTGCGGAAGAGCAGCCCTACGCATTTTTTCACTGACAGGAAGTTGCCACAGACGCTGAGTAACTGTTAAACAAAGCGGAGGCCCGGGCCTATCTTGCCACGCACTTCCTGTGAGCCCGTTTTCTCTCTGTCAAAGCACTGAGTGATCTCTTAGGGAGTTTACAGCTCCGGCAGTCAGCGCCGTTTGCTAATAAGTGAACTCTTAGCGAGTGAACTCTTGCTAGTAAATGAATTTTCAAGAGAAACACAACTGGGATCTCGGGCCAGATCTACAAATTCAGAGTTCTCTGGAACAACCCTATGCCCTTGGGAGTGTGGGGGGGAAACAAATCCACTCACAAAAGTCTCAAGATGTTTCTAGCCTTGCTATTAAGTTTATTTTGAATTTTAAAATAATAGTTTAAAAGCCGACCCCTCCCGTTGATCATGACTAGAAACTCAGAGGACTCTGGAAGTAAACAAAAGCAGGGGCGGGGCTGGGGATTTAGCTCAGCGGCAAAAGCGCCTGCCTGGCAAGCGCAAGGTCGTGAGTTCGGTTCCCGGTACCGGAGAAAAACCAAAAA